TATTATGGGATGCCATTGCTGGAAAGGAAATACACAAGTTTGATAAATTAAATCAATGTGTGAGTGGAGTATTCCATCCAAATGGACTTGAAGTAAGACATATTTTTTAAAATTAAATTACTTGGGCTTATATTGTAATCTGAGAATTTATTTTTTATTTTTTATTACTTAAGATTATATCAAATACAGAAGTCTGGGATATGCGCACATTCCAGTTGTTGCGTACAGTGTCAAGTCTTGATCAGTGTAATGTGACATTCTCCAAATCAGGAGAAGGAATGTATGTGTATGTCATTGATCAAGAAATTGAAAATGATTCTTCTTACCAAACTTCATTTAAAACTTTAGATCCTAATGACTACTCAAATATAGGTAAATATGATAAACAGTGTTAGATTTGTATTTATAAAACATTTTAAAATAGAATAGTTATTTGTTTTTACAATTTGTTTTATGTGTTTAGCCACTGTTGATGTTAAAAAATTCATATATCATATGGCTTGTAATAGTACTGATACTCAAATAGCAATTGTTGAAAATCAAGGAATGTTTGAAAATATTGATGAGTCAGTTGTACGAATATACGATGTTGGTAGATCTAGAAACGAAGATGAAGCTGTAAGGTTTTTTTTTTGTGATCATTTTGATCAACTAGAATTAATCATTTACAATTTTAGGTTGATGAAGAAGAAGATGAAGAAGTTGATTCTGAAGGTTCAGGGTCAGAAGATGAAAACATGTCTTGTACGTATTGCAATGATAAATTATTTTTTCTTATATAATAATTAACTAATGTTTAAGTAGACAGTAGTTTAAAATAAAAGTTACGATTGTATGTTTAATCAGTGTTTCCATCATACTTGGAAGAAATGATAGCTGGAGGAATGGCAGCAGGTAGAATGAATGACAATTTTTCTAGTGGTAGCAGTAGCAATAGCAGTTTCGATAGCGGCGGTGAAAGTTCTCGGTCATTTACCCCATTATCAGATTCAAGTAATGATGCAAGTTATGATGCTGGAGATAATTCAGACCCTGAAAATGTAGGTGCTTAATTATTATTAAATTAAATATATTTTTATTGTTTTAATTCAAAGAGTGATATAATATGTAATAAGAAATTACTTAAGAAATACATAAGATTTACTATTACCAAACTGTTACATTGCTGTTCAGTGTTGTATTTCTGTGATTGAAAATAATGTTTTCTATTGTATGTGTTATTGTACTATAATATTTGTTTGTATAATAATATGATAAAATACTTCTAAAAGAAAACCTTTTGAAGACTTACTGAACGCTTTATTTGGAATTATATTCTTTGGTTTGTTGTTGACAATATAATTTTTGTACATAAATTTCAATTATACAGTAATATATCAATATCATACTATCATAATATCTAGTTTTAACATAAATTTTTTTTCTTTAAATGTTGATGTTTTAAATATTTATTCTGGTTAAGTAAGTATTCCTAACATTTCTTTATTTTCTTATTTTATTTAAATAGAAACCACCTACTAGTGATGGGGTTGGTACCCCTATGATTCTTAAACAGTTACAGTGCCACAGTGGTACATACTACAAGTACTACTTATTAGTTCTTTACTTTATTAACAGTAACTGAAAAAGTTAAAATGCTTAACAATATTTAATTACTAAACATAATACGAGATAATAACTTATTAAGTAGTTATGTGAGTAATGTATTTAAAAATCCTACCTAAAAATATTGTAACTATTTAATGAAAAAATAAATTTTATTGGGGAATTCAAAATTAATAGCTCATACGACATGTTTTTTAATCCATATATTATGTTTTTATTCCTCTTCAATTCCTACTAGTATGTTCGAAATAATTTTAGAATTAAATAAAATAAACTTCACCAATGTTCAATCTACAAGATATAACTAGGGCTCATAAGTTCATGCATTTTTGTTTACCAAACTTTATAAAATATTGAGTGACATCAAAACTTGTTTAATGAGATATGGAATCAGTATATAAAATTCAATTTTGCATATTTTTAAATAATTTTTTTGATAGTCAATGAATAGTTTTTAGAAGATAATTTACAATAAGATTAAAATAACATGAGTAACACGTAGAGGAAGAAACCCATTGGTAATAMATTTTATACTAATTTAATAGGTCTAAATCATTTATGCTTTAGTCTACGTGGTGAGTTTTTTGGTAGGATGAAGGTGGACATGTATGATAATAAAGCGTTGCATTCTTAAATTTTGGTGGAAGCGTTTGTACATTATTTTGGCTAGTTTAATGGTAGTACTTATTTTTTGTCAGTATCATACCAAAACAAAATTTGTTCGAAAGTATTATCTACATTTTATAACATGATAATTTCAAAGGTAGTATATCACTTTTGGCTTTAGGTTGCTTATAGAGTTGCTTTCGCGGTTATCTATGTATGATAATATATAATATATAATATGATAATCGTGGTTGCTTCAGAATTCTATAGATTAATTGGTATCCTTGCATACAACCTAAATACAACCGGTATATACTTATCTAAATAAATAAAAATAAAGCATACATTTAAAATATTCTGTAATTTAGAATAATTTATTATGAATTAAAAAAGTTTAGTGTCCTACAATCGATGTGTTGTCTCCATCTTACAAATGCGTAACTTGACAAATTTTGGGATCCGAGTAATTGATTTTACTCAGTTGTTATTGTTGGGTTGAATTTACCTATTATACAATTTAGAAATTAGAACTAAGAATATTATCTAGTGAACAGTGAACCACGTTGGTTTTTTTATACATATAATTTTACAACAAGAGATGAGTATTTTAAAATTATATTTCATTGTGCATTTTAAAATACTCTGCTTGTTTTAAAATTAATATATAAAAAAAAACCAACGATGTTCACTAGGTAGATAATATTTTTACTTCTAAATTGTATAATATGTAAATTCGCATTTCACTCCAATATTATTATAATAAAGTTAAATCGATTATTTAAAATGTACAATTCGCTATGTTAGTATGTTACGCGTTTTTAAGACGGAGACAACACTTGCGGCTATGGTGCTCATGTCATGACGTCTAACAGTTGGCACATCAACAATGGCGTATTTAGGGGGGTTTTGGGGTGTTCACCCACTAACATAGCTCATCTATGCACCTTATATCTACCTCTAGTAAAGCCGTCCTGTGTTATGCAATGGCTTAGGTAGAATGAATAGTATAGACATTTTATTATATCTTGACAATTTGGGACCAGAAAGTGTTTTACTACAATTTTAAACTGTACTCAGGTGGCCGGCAAATCGGTAAAAAATTATATAAGTGTGCCAGTGCGCAACGGAATACGGATTACGGATAAGAACAATATTTAAATATATAATTCTGAAAATAAACATTAAGGAATTCCCGCGGTTACTCGGTGTGCCACAGCCCAAATTTGAAGAAGAAGAAACTGTTTTGTGATTTGTATTACCGGCATTACTGTACTATAAAAAAATACTATTAACAATTATTGTTAACTTGATTCTTGGTATTTATTATAATAATATATCATCGAATACCTATAATGGGGCATGGGCTATAATATTACATTATACCATATAAGCTGTAAACTCAATGATAATATTTTATTGACATTTTATTTTATTAGTTAATATACTTATTGTAGTACGAGTAACTACTTAGAAATTATTTATTAGCTTTTACCAGTTACCACGGGTATGGTTCATCATATACATATTATATATTATATACATGTAGTATAATAATTATAGATTAATGATTATAAATACGATACGAATACGACATACCTACGAAATAATATTAATATTAATTATATTTGTGGTATTCATAGCTATTGATATTATGATACCTATTGTACAGTGTACACCACTGATAACTTTATTAATTATATAGCATCGTTGTATTGTTCTGTGGCTGTATGTAACTATGTATTGCAACTATTGCTGCGTCTCAACTGACGCCAATTCATATATCAACGTAGAATTTACTTGATGTATTTAGTTATAATGTTTATTTCACTTAATACAAAAATACAATAAAATTATGATTAAATGATGAGGTGAGCGGTGTTACGACCTACCTCCAAATGTCTTGTTTAGGCTTATCTGCCCAACTGTCTAGCTCACAATGCTCACATTTAAGAACATTAAGAACCGTCTGACTCACATTTTAAAACAGTCTGACGAGCTCCTGTCCCCGTCTCTTATATATGATTTGGTCCTTATGAGAGGTGGTTGTATTGGTGGAGACTTTCCTGTTACATGCCGGAATTTGGTCTAGTCATTCAACTTAATATTAATATGCTGACCATTTCGTATCCTTTTACATGGGGTCTACTGTCATTTCTGAGAAGAGACGTGTGAAAACACTTATATAGTTTAATTAATCTTATTCACCACCTTCCTATTTTTGACCTCTGTATACTTTTTATATTAATGGCTYATTAGTTTTAGTCATACCTAATACTTATTTTATAGTCATAATTGCGTGACATCTCGTTCATATTTTATAGGTACGTAACAGTATAATTATAGTTCAGTGATTTTTACTCTATTACAGCGGTTAGTTTCTCTATCGGGCCGTTGGGGAAATTGCATTCAACAAAAATCAAATGATCACAAACAGTAAAATTAATTTTTTGAGTTTCAGATCTGAATATGTTAATGAGATTGGGGCATTTAGCGTATAAGGTCGAAAATCATTATTCCATAGCCATTGTTGTAGAGTGCCAGRGTGGTTYTTCAATTTTTCACGGTTTTTGAATAAGAAATTARATAATCGGCTTATAACCATCACTCAAATTTCAGAGAAAATAATTATTGGCTATTGCACCGTTGCCGATCACGCGCACATCCCACGTGATGACAATGTCATGTGAAATCGTGATTTGAATGAATTGATAATAAATAATAATAAAGACGTCTCGAGTCTCGACTCGTGGGTGATAACAGCGGCGGCATGGCACAATCGGTTCGGTTGTAACTCGTCAATTATATTGTAATGTAGGCATGCAGCAACAACGACAAGGGGTCAGGGGGGACAACGCGTTTTGGCGGTTAAAAGCGATGAATTCGTTGTGTTTGTGTTGTCGACGCCATCGCGGCCTGCCTACATTGTCTACAACGTCATTGCTCCGTTGCGCCCCGCCGGTTTCGTACCTCCGTACCGTTCACTCGCAGATCCGCACCGGTCGACTACTGCACGACGTTGCCGCTAAGATTATTTCTAAGACTCGAGCAGACATGGCCGTCAACAAAAACTGCAGCCGGCCGTACACGGTGTTCGTCGAGGGTAACGTGGGCAGCGGAAAGACAACGTTTCTGGAACAGTTCGCCGACTGCCCGAACGTGTTCCTCGCCAAGGAACCTGTACACAAGTGGCAGGACGTGCGTGGCCACAACTTTTTGGTGAGCAAATACTCGTCACAGTCGCCGGTGTACTATTATGCCCGTGTACGGCGTGTTGTAAGTTTCCGTTTTTCCAGGGACTGATGTACGAGGACCCGAAACGGTGGAGCTTCGCGTTCCAGTCGATCGTGCAGAGRACCATGTTGGAACTGCACCAAGCCAGGCCAGAACTTCCCGGTCAGAACATCAAGATAATGGAACGGTCCATCTACAGCGCCCGGTGATTGTTAATTTTGAATTTTGATTATTTATCATATTTTTTTTTTCCCGCCCATTTTGTCATTGTTATTAAATGTCTCGTTGTCATTATTATTATCGTAACGCTTGCTGTGGGTAAACCTGCATAATATAATTGAATAACAACCAATAATTAGTGTATTATTGGTGGAAGCATTAGAAGTCTGGTAGATGAGACGATACCCGTTTTTCTCGAGGTTTTTCTG